CGCCCAAGCTTGATATTGCTGTTAGAGTGCGCGCCCATGCGCGCCCAAGCTTGAGAGTTGGGCGCGCCCAAGCTTGATATTGCTGTTAGAGTGCGCGCCCATGCGCGCCCAAGTTTGGCATTGCGGTTAAAGTGCGCGCCCAAGCCTGGAATAGCAGTTAGAGTGCGCACCCGTGTGCGCCCAGGCCAGATATTGCTATTAGAGTGCGCGCCCGTGTGCGCCCAGGCTGGATATAGTTATTTGAGTACGCGCCCGTGTGCACTTGCGTTGGATATGTGTGCGCCCAGGATGTTGTCGTTTAAGTGCGAGCCTTTGTGCGCCCGAGCATAGGATTGCTAGCTGAGATTATTTGCCATCATGCTCCCGTTGATTTACTTCTTTGCTGATCAGCAACACCTCATGCACATGATATCTTCCCTCGCACGGGGAGCATTGGCAGTTCAGTCCCTGCACAGATGACCTGGCTCAGTCTAGCCCCAATACACTCAGCATTTGTGACTGGTCCCTGTGCATGAGATGTTTCACTGATCAGTTGCTGTTCACCCGGGCCCTTCAGGCGGGCCTACTAGAGATTGTTGCTGTTCAGCCGGGCCCTTCAGGCGGGCCTACTTGAGATTGAGTTGTTGATTCAGCCGGGCCCCTTCAGGCGGGCCCTATATCGAGTTGCAGTGCAGTCAGGCCATTCAGACAGGCCTCCACATCGAGTTGCTGATTGCTATCCGGCCAGGTCTTGGAGGGAGTATTTGCATCAGTGAGAGCGTGCATTCCATCCAAGCTGGCCCGACGTCGTGAGACTACCCCTAGGTGAGGTAGATTGATTGAGAGGTTCTGCCACAGACATGTGGGACATCAGAGTTTCACTATCAGGGCTAATGAGTCCTCGACTTCGAGACACACGCTTGTGATCACCTACTCGGTGAAGGGGGCAGAGACGGGAGTGAAGGGAACCACATATGACAGGATTGCAGATTACATATTTCGCAGAGAGAGCTATTGGAGGGACAACTGGCCGCACGTGGTGTTTCCTCGCGTACCTTCAGCTCCTGGGGGTGTGCTCTTCGATTTCGACGGATGCAACCCCAAGCCTCTTAGTGAGCCCCGCAGCAAGGAGAAGAGGCGGAAGGACGACCGGATCCAGAGAGAGATAACCAGATCCGAAGTCCCAATCACTACATGTGTCCCGAAATCAGAGACAGATGAGTCGGATTTGGACCCCTGCTCTGTGAGTGACCTTGATCTTGGCGATTATTTCGACTGGGACACTCACAGGGATTGAGTTTGTGGATAGCGACAGGAGCGCTGGAGACCAGTGAGCGGAGACGTCGGAGGGCGACATTGAGGAGGATCGCACATCTTCTAGCACGGTATCTTCTTAAGGGTGATTGACTCCTACATGTCAGACGACCCTGGGTCTGAGACAGTTATTGGTCCCCCAAGAGGGGAAGGTCCGGTCCCATACCTCGGAGATTACTATAGTCATTTGGTCGGGACAGACTTTGCTATGCAGGCTTATCGAAAGCCTCTTTACGGAGATCGCTTTCTCGAGGTTTCCTACATTTACTCTGGTGGGAGAGGACGTATTGAGATATTGATTGGAGCTTCAGGCGATATCATTCTTGCGGAGGAGCTTTATCTCAGGAGCGTCGCAGACGAGGAGATGGCTAGACGCATGGCCTCGACATCAGCTACGTGGTTCCAGAGTTGATAGCCACGCGAGTTCTCAATGACGAGGAGTCCCAGACGGCAACACTCACTCACGAGGGGGTACCGCTTATTATCATTGATTGAGGTTCTCTCTTTTCAGTCACTATTGATGTATTACGACATTATTATTTACTAGAGACTGCAGCCCTCCAATGGCTGCTCCCTGCATACTCTGTGTACTACTCTTCAGTCTCGTATCTCTGGTCATACTCTTGCAGAGTCTGGTTTCTGGTCTTCTCATTTTGTCAGTGTCAATTGCTCTATGATGCATGTTTGTTATTTTTCCTCCTTATTTTATGCAAGTTACACTCAAGGCAGCTTAAAGGACTCCTGAATGATAGGGACTCTGCTGACCTAGAGTCTATCCTTTATACGAGGTCAGGTGCAGGCGATAAACCCGAACGCCTCACTCTAAGCCGTGTCGCCGCTGGCAGGAGGGATAACCCTGACTACTCGGCTGTATGATAAAGTGTGACTGCCTCTGAATACACCTCAATTTTTATACCTATCAAAATTCCTGTGTGACAGCCTGCCAGTCCTCCAACCCACCGAGCTTGGCCCTGGGAAGAACATCTAACCGGACCCTTGAAGCAGTGGGGGCGCGACAGCGTGTCAGGCTTGGTTGGACAACCTGTTGTCCAAGTACGAAGTGGTAGCCAACGACTTGCACACCAAGATCAGTTGGGATGATCTGAAGGCGGTGTGGCACAAGCGGTTTCAGTGGGAGCCGCCGGAGATCAAAGCCATGGACAAGCTCATGGCCTTCGAGCAAGGCACGCTGCCGAGTGCGGACTGGATCGCCGAGTACCAACGCTTGACGTCAGTCCCAGACATCCAGATGGGCTTCAAGGCCATCCGCCACTACTTCATCTCAAGGTCATGTCCGGCATTAAGCAATGCCCTGACTCATGTCGAGGACACCTTGACGACGACGGCGGAGTTGTTCGACACGGCTGCACAGATCATTATCACGAACAAGGAGGCCAAGAACCTCCGTTCATCTGCGCCAGGCCCGAGAAGGGACCAGCATCGGCCAAGAGTGGCCGTGGTCGCAGCGGCAGCGCCGTTGGACCAAACCAGCGAGGCTGTGTCTGCCAGTGAAGGGGACAAATTCGCAGCCGCCCGGGAAGGTGCCCACCTCGGCAGAGGCCGAGGACGCGGCAGGACGAAGACACACACCGCATCTAGCCCCGGGCCCGGTGCAGCAGTTCAGACAGGCCCATGGACCCGGTATGGCATCTCCGAGCAAGCCTTCAAGGCGCGCGAGAGATTCCACTATTGCCTTTGGTGCAACAGCGATCTTCATCAGACGCAGGGTTGCCCATTGAAAGGCAAGGGCAAACAGGGAAACTGAGCACCGCCGAGAGTGACTCAACAACACTCTCGACGCCTTCGCAACCGGTTTCTTCGCGAGTAACCGGCCTTCATTCCGAGGTGCACGCGGAAGTCGATAGTCCTCTTCTACTTTCTTTTGAGGACTATGCTGCCCGTCTCATTCCTACGCTGGGTACTCAAGCTCGAGGACAAGGAGTGTGTTCGGTTTCTTATCCGTCCGGCAACGGCGACATATCGTCTTCAAGTGGTTCTTCACGGGATTCGGCGCGCGAGTTTATCATATAGGTATTGGACCCGCTCACGTCCGAGGACTTTGCATGGCTTCCTCTCCCGACCACAGGCCGCTTGCCGGGACCGCAATGCGCAGCACTTAGCGCTCATCTCCACACT